GTCTGTGCAGCCACTGGCACCTGCCTCTGGGGGTTGTTTTCTTTTCCCTTCTCCGGGCAGGTGGTGCTCATTCCTAGAGGCTTGATGAAGCCCCTGCTGCAGCCTGTTAGAGCGCTCTCACAAATGCTGTAGACCAAAGCTGCAAAGCACCAGGGAGCGAAGACAGGGCTGAGAGATCTGCGTGGTGATCCTGCCTCCCTCTGCAGTGCTGGGGGCTGGGCTAAACTGTGCAGTTACTCAGCGTCCCAGAGAGGAAAGCCAGATGGAGAGGTTTGCAAAGACAGGAACTGCTCCACTTCGGCTGGATGTTTGAGCTTCAGGGCATGCAGAAGTTAAGCCCGGGGAGCATGTGACAGGCATTAACGCTTTATCCCCTGAGCCATTGCTGCAGCTCTTCTCCCCTTTGTGAGCATCCAAAGGGGAAGACCAGAAAACTGTGCCAAGGTCACAGTGATCTGCCAGGGAACAAGGGCTGCCTTCCCTGGGGCGCCTGTAACGGAGCGATAAGGAACAGCGTCTCCTCCCAGCTCTGCACCTTCAGCCATGGCTCTGCCTGCACAAAGGAAAATGCCCAGAGATGAGGGATGGAAAGATGCTCCCCACACCTGCGCCCAGGGCTCTGGGAGACCCAGTTCCCTGCCTCCCAGACCAGGAAAGGCCCCAGGTAACACTGGCAGACAGTTGATGACAGAAGGAACTCGACTCTGCTGGGGCAGGTAAACGCAGCACGAGGGCCTGGCCTGAGCTTTGGGGCTTTGCAGCTCTGCGCTTTGGCCCGCCCAGCTCGCAGGAAGGCTGCTCTGCAGGTAAGGGCACGTGGGAGGCGAGGTGGGGTAGAGCAGCCTGTGCTGCAAAGGGAAGTTTTGGGTCTCTTCCTCTTTGGCTGGGAATTAATGCTGAAACAAGAGCCCATGTTGCAAGCTTTAGTGGCTTGGCCTTCCCTCTTTACCTCATGCTGCTGGGTACCAGGAGAGTGGCAGATGTCACTGATGCTTTATTTTTAACCTCAAAGCCAAGATTTTCCCTTTCCCTCCCCAGATACTCCCTTTCCCTCCAGTGGTTCTAGGTGCTTGCTCCAGAAATTACCAAAATAAGCAGAGGGGCCGCTGTCCTGCATCATAAGCTGAGGGCATGGCAGGGTGGAAGCAGCAAACGGGACAGATGGCAACTCCGGTGGAAGCAGCAATGAGGGATTAAAAGCAGGAACATACAAGAGCTTGTGCTTTAGGGAATTAGTGTCCTCAGATGACTTTAAAATGCATTTTAATCCTCACAAGCCTACTCTG